TGAGGAGTCAGAGTTTGCACTCTGGAATGATCATCAGCTGACAATTCTTGACCTGCCTAACCAGTCCTGAGCTGATTAAGGCCTAACAAGTCAATTAAGTTCTATGACTTCACAACTGGAAGGGAGTCCGAACTTTTGCACGTGCCTCGATAACTATTTTCAATTCTATTTTTTAAGTTACCCAATCATAAAGTAAATGTGCTCTAACATTTACAGAAAAATTATTTGTTAGTACAAGATTTGTTGCCTATTCCTTGTAGCACTGGTACTTAGTAGAGGTAGTACTTGTTTCGATTTTCGATTTATTTTGATTAACTAATGACAGAAGCTTTTTGATTAACCAATGACAGAAGCTTTTCCATTAACCAATGACGGAAGCTTTTCGATTAACCAATGACGGAGGCTTTTCCATTAAGCAATGATGGAAGCTTTTCCATTAACCAATGACGGAAGCGTTCAAATTAACCAATGACGGAAGCGTTTCCATTAACCAATGACGGAAGATTTTCCATTAAGCAATGACGGAAGATTTTCCATTAAGCAATGACGGAAGCTTTTCCATTAACCAATGACGGAAGCTTTTCCATTAACCAATGACGGAAGCTTTCCAATTAACCAATGACGGAAGCTTTCCAATTAACCAATGACGGAAGCTTTTCCATTAACCAATGACGGAAGCTTTCCAATTAACCAATGACGGCAGCTTTTCCATTAACCAATGACGGAAGCTTTCCAATTAACCAATGACGGCAGCTTTCCAATTAACCAATGACGGCAGCTTTCCAATTAACCAATGACGGCAGCTTTTCCATTAACCAATGACGGCAGCTTTCCAATTAACCAATGACGGAAGCTTTCCAATTAACCAATGATGGAAGCGTTTCCATTAACCAATGACTGAAGCTTTCAAATTAACCAATGACGGAAGCGTTTCCATTAAGCAATGACGGAAGCGTTTCCATTAAGCAATGACGGAAGCGTTTCCATTAAGCAATGACGGCAGCTTTTCCATTAACCAATGACGGAAGCGTTTCCATTAAGCAATGACGGAAGCTTTCAAATTAACCAATGACGGAAGCTTTCCAATTAACCAATGATGGAAGCGTTTCCATTAACCAATGACTGAAGCTTTCAAATTAACCAATGACGGAAGCTTTTCCATTAACCAATGACGGAAGCTTTCCAATTAACCAATGACGGAAGCTTTGATTAACCAATGACAGAAGCTTTGATTAACCAATGATAACCAATGATAGAGGCATTTCAATTAACCAGTGATAACAGATGAAAGAAGCATTTGGAAACAAATAATAACCAATGACAGAAGCATTTGGATTACCTAAAGATAACCAACGACAGAGGCATTTACTTTAATCAATCAATAACAATTAATTATATTAATTAACAACTAATAACAAACAATTAATAATCAACGGCAGAAATATTAAGAAACCAATGATGGTTTTGCGCAGGGCAGCACCCTTTCTTCTAACTGTGGAGTAATATACACTGAGCCAATGAAAACAGAGTGCAAAAAAATAAATACAGCAAGAAAACAAAGAAAAATGCTGAACATTCATATGCAGAGCAGAGCTGTTTTTATGAATGACCTTTTTGGCGGGAGGACAACTGAGTGCTTGTAAAATCAAAATGAACAGCCCTAGTGATCTAGTAGAGGTAGTATTTGTTTAAGTGTTGGCTCTGAAAGTTGTGCAGGTTCTGTAGATTTGTCAGAATCTCTAAACGCCAGGGCGATCCCTCCTCCCCCCGCAGAGACGCTATCTCAGTCCTATGCATCTCTGTCATCAGGGTTTTAACTTCAGTTGGAGCAGAGGGAGCGCAAAGCAAGCCTGGTCTTGTCATAACCTCAATTCTTCTCCAGACCAGCCATATTCTTTACACTTAACCCTCTATACTGACACTAAATGCACTGACTTACTGTCGACCTTCGGTCATCTTTACAGTGTTGATTCCTTAAAAAGTTTGATGGTTTATAACAGTTACAAGGAAAAGCCACAGTTATAATTGCCCTGTGCATTGATAAGGCTTGCAACACAGACTGCAGAGTGGCCAACTACACTTCAAGCATTATCTATTCATCACCTGCTCACTGTGTATGTTTCATAGTTATTCTTTTAAATTAAATTTAAATTTATTTGAATACCGCTTTCTACAGTGGCTACGGCCACTAAGCAGCTTTACAGAAAACTCGGACCAAGCCCCAAATGACCAAGCCAAGAGAGACACTGGTGAGAAAGACTCTAACAGTATGATAAAGAAACCTTGAGAGGAACCAAGACTAAAAAGGGGAATTCATCCTCCTCTGGTCGACACCAGAAACAATAAAACAATAAAACAATATGAACTGAAAAAATTTAAATTGACAATGAAAATACAACAGCGAATAAGAGTAAAGGAAAGAAATGAGTGTCACTGGACAGAAGCATTTCAATTAACCAATGACAGAAGCATTTCCATTAACCAATGACAGAAGCATTTCAATTAACCAATGACAGAAGCATTTCAATAAACCAATGACAGAAGCTCTTCGATTAACCAACGATAGAAGCATTTTGATTAACCAATTATAGAGGCATTTCGATTAACCAATGACAGCCAATGATAGAAACATTTCAATTATCCAATGACAGAAGCATTGCGATTAACCAATGACAACCAATGACAGAAGCATTTCGATTAACCAATGACAATTATATTGCGATTAACCAATGACAGAAGCATTGCGATTAACCAATGACAACCAATGACGGAAGCATTTCAATTAACCAATGAAAAGCTTTTCGATTAACCAATGACAGAAGCTTTTCGATTAACCAATGACGAAAGTATTGCGATTAACCAATGACAACCAATGACAAGCTTTTCGATTAACCAATGACAGAAGCTTTTCGAATAACCAATGACGAAAGTATTGCGATTAACCAATGACAACCAATGACAAGCTTTTCGATTAACCAATGACAGAAGCTTTTCGATTAACCAATGACAAGCTTTTCGATTAACCAATGGCAGAAGCATTTCGATTAACCAATGACAACCAATGACAGAAGCATTGCGATTAACCAATTTTTTCTACGAAGGTTTATGATTAGTTACGCAATTAGCTTTTGATCTTAATGAAAGAATGGTGGAGGGGTACATGCAAAGAGGTAGAACAAACAAGAAGGTAGTAACTTTTTGTTTGTTTGCTTTTTTGCCTTTTCTTTTTTTAAGAGTTGCCGTTATTTTACCATTATCAACACTGCTTATGAAAACTAAGAGGACACATACAGGTTCATTGGTCATTCTAGGTAATAAAAAATTGGCTTAAACTGCTTTGGAAACAGTGACCCCCTGCGCCAGTGTCAGCAACAGCACACGGTAAAGAAATCAGTTTCACTACAATGCAGTATTTCAGCTCAAATCCCTCTGAATGACTTTGTTTACTTTTCAATCATTTAATTATGTAGAAAGTTATGTTAGTAAATATATGTCCAGCTGACTTTGTCTAAAACACTGAGTTCATCTGTTTCTCTGATACTTTGTTAGCCCCCTTTTACCCTGTTCTTCAGTGGTCAGGACCCCCATGGACCCTCACAGAGCAGGTACTGTTTGGGTGGTGGATCATTCTCAGCACTGCAGTAACACTGACGTGGTGGTGGTGGTGTGTTAGTGTGTGCTGTGCTGGTGCGAGTGGATCAGACACAGCAGTGCTGCTGGAGTTTTTAAACACCTTAGTGTCACTGCTGGACTGAGAATAGTCCACCAACCAAAAACGTCCAGCCAACAGCATCCTGTGGGCAGCGTCCTGTGACCACTGATGAAGGACTAGAGGATAACCAACACAAACTGTGCAGCAGCAGATGAGCTATCGTCTCTGACGTTACATCTACAAGGTGGACTGACAAGTTAGGAGTGTCTAATAGAGTGGACAGCGAGTGGTCACAGTGTTTAAAAACTCCAGCAGCACTGCTGTGTCTGATCCACTCAGACCAGCACAACACACACTAACACACCACCACCACGTCAGTGTTACTGCAGTGCTGAGAATGACCCACCACCCAAATAGTACCTGCTCTGTGAAGGTCCATGGGGGTCCTGACCACTGAAGAACAGGGTAAAGGGGGGCTAACAAAGTATCAGAGAAACAGATGGACTACAGTCTGTAACTGTAGAACTACAAAGTGCACCTATATAGTAAGTGGAGCTGATAAAATGGACAATGAGTGCAGAAATACCAGTGTCACTGGTGACAATGATCCACCACCCAAATAGTACCTGCTCTGTGGTGGTCCTGTGGGGGTCCTGACCACTGAAGAACAGGGTAACAAGGTATGCAGAGAAACAGATGGACTACAGTCTGTAACTGTAGAACTACAAAGTGCACCTATACAGTAAGTGGAGCTGACAGAATGGACAGTGAGTGTAGACAGAAGGAGTGGCTGGTCGGTGTATACCCAAGATATTTCCAAGGTAGAGAGAAGACAGACCAGCTCAGGGGCCACACTGAGGTAACGTTAAACATACAGCCTTTTTATTCAATTACGTCAAATCTTGTGGCAGCATAAAATCAGCCAAGAAAAGCCTATTAAATAAGACGTTACCTACCTTTAGCTAGACGGTCCGCTAGCTGACTTACTTCAAGTAGTTAGCAAGCAAAAGTGACGGGTGGACTAGCCAGCTAGGAGTTAGCCAGCAACACTGGGGTCAGGTTTTTATCGAAAAATGGGCAAAACAAAGCAGATATACGTCGTATTGTTTCACACAGACGTAAACGATTGAATTAGGGTCGGTTAAAACACAGAGAAAAGCCCGGACTCTGAATGGGTCAGTGTTTTCTGGCTAGCTAACGAGCTAACGCGGGTGGAAATCTCAGCCCCCGGAGCGGAGCGTCAGTCGCTCTGCCTGAACGGCGTATCCACTCCTCGGACTAACAGCCCGGATAAACTATGAGGCAGATATTCAGGCAGAAATCTGACAGTTTGGTTCAAACAACTTACTCGGGTTTAACGTGCCGAGAACGTCCGAGCGGGTCCGAGAAGTCGCTTCAGCCCCATCCAGCATATCCAACAACTCCGCTCCCTCCGCTCTTCAGCCCTCCGGGCACTCCAGTGTGTTTTCGCTGAGACGGAAGGGGTTTTACGTCACACGCCTCGGACTCCTTTTTAAATATCCTACAGCGGAGGCAGAGCGAGCTCACCTGGCCGACAGGTATCCGATCCTGCAGGAAGGAATTATCTTAAACTGGTTTTGTCTTTTTGTTCTAGATAACAATAAAGCTGTGAGAGCTCTGTTTAAAGAAATATGGTTCCTTTATTTCATGTGATTTCACACTGGAATCGTTTTCTAGATGACAAATTTTCACTGAAACTTATTCAGTGTAAATATAACTAAATATAGTTTTTCACTTCTTTTAGCACTGTGTGAAAAAACTGGCCAAAACCTAACTGCCGTTATGGTTCATAACCGGGTCCAGATGTATGGTTCTACTGATGGAGCGGTCCAGCTGTGCATGTGAATATCATTAGTATAGTATCTCTCTCTCTCTCTCTCTCTCTCTCTCTCTCTCTCTCTATATATATATATATATATATATATATATATATATATATATATAGTTTTTTACATAATTTGAAAATGCCTGTGGCCCTTTACAATGTTTGCAAATTTCATGAAGAACGGACCAAAAGAAACGGCCCAAAATGACTTGGCAAAAAGTCTGGTTCCATTGACTTACATTAAAAGTAAAGAAGGTTTTTTCCTTCTCCTGTAAAGTTAACATTTTGGAGATAGGAGGTTTTGTTCTGACAAGAGCGACACATACACCGATCAGGCATAACATTCTGACCACCGCCTTGTTTCTACACTCATTGTCCATTTTATCAGCTCCATTTACAATATAGGTGCACTTTGTAGTTCTACAGTTACAGACTGTAGTCCATCTGTTTCTCTGATACTTTCTTAGTCCCCTTTTACCCTGTTCTTCAGTGGTCAGGACCCCCATGGACCCTCACAGAGCAGGTACTATTTGGGTGGTGGATCATTCTCAGCACTGCAGTAACACTGACGTGGTGGTGGTGTGTTAGTGTGTGTTGCGCTGGTCTGAGTGGATCAGACACAGCAGTGCTGCTGGAGTTTTTAAACACTGTGTCCACTCACTGTCCACTCTATTAGACACTCCTACCTTGTCAGTCCACCTTCTAGATGTAAAGTCAGAGACGATAGCTCATCTGTTGGTCATCCTCTAGTCCTTCATCAGTGGTCACAGGACGCTGCCCACAGGACGCTGTTAGCTGGATATTTTTGGTTGGTGGACTATTCTCAGTCCAGCAGTGACACTGAGGTGTTTGAAAACTCCAGCAGCACTGCTGTGTCTGATCCACTCATACCAGCACAACACACACTAACACACCACCACCACGTCAGTGTTACTGCAGTGCTGAGAATGACCCACCACCCAAATAGTACCTGCTCTGTGAGGGTCCATGGGGGTCCTGACCACTGAAGAACAGGGTAAAAGGGGGCTAACAAAGTATGCAGAGAAACAGATGGACTACAGTCTGTAACTGTAGAACTACAAAGTGCACCTATATAGTAAGGGGAGCTGATAAGATGGACAATGAGAGCAGAAACAAGGAGGTGGTCATAATGTTATGCCTGATTGGTGTATATGTCTATATATATCTATATGTGCAAATTATGTATATTTACATACACTCTTACTTACATTCTTAAAAAGATGGTTCTTCAACAATTCTTTAGTAAAGAAAATGGCTTTATATAGAACCATGTACACTTAACGATTGAAGGGTTCTCATTATGAAAGGTTCTTCAAATAGATGGAACATGTGAATGAATGTGCTGTAAACGGTTCTATATACAACCTTTCTAAACAGGGTTCTATATAGCACCAAAAAGACTTCTTTTTTTGCTACTAACTTGACATTGTAACAATAGAAGAACCCTTTAATCATGCAAATTGTTCTTTGCATGTTCATGATTCTACATAGAACCATTTTCTTTCTTAAAGAATCCTTGAAGAACCATCTTTTTCTTCACACACACACACATATATTTATATATATATATATACACATATACACATATATCATCTAAACCACTTATCCTTCTGGGTCGCGGTGGGGTGCTGGAGCCTATCCCAGCTGTCATTGGGCGAAAGGCAGGATACACCCTGGATGGGTCGCCAGTCCATCACAGGGCAGACAGACAGACATGCACATTCACACCTAGGGGCAATATAGCGAGTCCAATTAGCTTAACTGCATGTTTTTGGACTGTGGGAGGAAACCGGAGTACCCGGAGGAAACCCACGCAGACACGAGGAGAACATGCAAACTCCACACAGAAACGACCCTGGTGGCCCGGCTGGGAATTGAACCCAGGCCATTGTCGCTGTGAGGCAACAGCGCTACCCACTATATATATATATATATATATATATATATATATATATATATATATATATATATATATATATATATATATATATATATGAGTCATTTTTCAGTTTTTGATATAATTTGAAAACGCCTGTTGTCCGTTACATTGTGTGCAAATTTCATGATGAATAGAACAAAAGAAATGAACCAAACTTACTTGGAAAAAAGTCTGGTTACACTGACTTACATTAAAAGTAAAACATTCTTCCGTCTCCTGTAAAATTACCATTGAGGCTTTGTTCCGACAGCAGCATCATATACTGTGCCGTTGGTGTAGAGCAAGACACAGCAGAAGCTATGATTCTGTGGCAAGAAGTGCTCTTTTACTAACCACTTATGCTCGTAGGTATATTTAATTTTTTTTCCATCTGAATTTATATGCCCAAATCGTAAGGCAAATTATTCAATAACTGCATGAAATAACTGTAAATTTTTTGTTTTTTTTTTTTGTAAAAGTTCCCCTCAAATTAACAGAACATGTGCTGATGATCATACACATATTGCTATATGCTTACAATTCACTGCTGAAAGCCAAAAATCTTAGACACTCTTTGTATTATTTCATAAAACTAATTTTTACAGAGCAGATCACTGAAGAGACGCCATCTGAGATCCAGTTATAGCTCAGCTTTGTGGAAAAATGAGTCGACTTTCAGTAGAAAAAAAGAAGCTGTGAGTTCAGCTTCTTTTATTATTAAGTTTTATTACATTAAATTACCCATCTATTTGACTGGAAAGAAGACACTCACAGCTCTCATATGACACCCACCTTTTGAATGTGGCTTATAAAATATGAAAGTTATGAAGTAAAGAATATGACGAAGTGCGTTTTGGAACCACCGGTGGTCTCAAGGAGTTGAAGAGCTTAAACAACAGTCAGAAAGGCACATAACACAGCGTGAATAGCAGGTAGGTTATCACCAGCCATACATCTCTGCTTCACAGTAGACAGTCAGCCCCACTACTTAACGCTCCTGCCCAACACACAGTTACACAGGTAACACATACACACAACTTAAACTAAAAATCAATGACATAAACAATATTTTAGTCCCTTTTTATGGGGAGTGCTCACCTCCTGTGTGGCTACACCTCCAGAGCCTCTGCAGCAGCACGAGCCAGTAGCAGGACAATATAGTATTTTATATATATATATAGTAAAGTCTTGGTGAGAAAGACGACATGAGAGAAGCCATGATTTCTGCTACAAGAAGTGTTCTTTATTATCAACAGTATTAGGCTATGTTCACATTACCAGGTTGAAGTGGTACGAATCTGATTTTTTGCCCTAAAGTGACTCTGATCTTATGTTTTCAGGGCTGTGTGGACACGCAAATCTGATCTTATCCAATCTGAGCCACTTTAGCTACATTTACATTACAAGCCTGATCGCTCAAATCCAATTTTTTGCTCAAATCCGATCTCTCTGACAGGATGGCTCATAATTGTTTAGATAAGTGATTCAAATCTGTCATTGATGTGAACGAACCGGTGTCCTGAAATGACCCATACGCGCACATCCTACTCAGTAACGTCACGTGAACGAATCATTAGCTAACAAACTAACGAGCAGAAGAACAGAATAAAAAGGCCACAAAAAGAAGCATAAAACATAAAATGTGGCCTGTGCAAAAACTATGCACACTATGTTTTTTTTTTCTCAAATATGTAAAACTTAAGTAAATAGAAATTATGCAGTAAAATTTGGCATATTTAAGTTAGTTTCAAGTTTATTTGTCATTTGCACAACATGTCAGGACATTCATGCATTGAAATTGGAGGGTCATGTAGCCCCAACACTTCACCCTACCCCTCTATCTCAACAAAAATTGGGACACCCTACCCCTAGACGTGAGCGCGCAAAACAGAGGGTAAGGGCTAAGAGGCAGGGGTGAGGGGTGAAATGGGATTGGGCCTTACTGTCCATAGCAGTAATATGATAATAATAATACTGACAAAGTGACTGAGTGAAATGGTAGTTGAGGACGGACCCACAGCTTCCCAGCTTGTTCAGAAGCCTGACAGCCTGTGGGTAGAAACTGTTCATTAGCCGGGTTGTTCTGGCCTGTATGCTGCCGAATCTCCTGCCTGATGGCAGGATGGTGAACAGGCCGTGTGCTGGGTGACGCTGTCTGACCGGATCTTTTTGATCTTCCTGAGGCAGCGGGACTGATAGACGTCCTGCAAGGCTGGTAGTTTATTGCTTATGATGGATTCTGCCGTCACCACAACTCCTTTAAGGGCGTTACAGACGCAGGTGGTGCAGCTGCTGTTAGTTCCTTGTACAGGATGTGTTAACGTATTTTCACTTAAAAATCAAGAAAAAAATTAAATCTTAAAATAGATTGTAAAAAAAATTATGTCACAAGTTAAAAAAACTTTTATTGTTTGTCTCATTGATGAAAAGTTAGTGGGGTTGGGACAACTTTTTGGTCGGTCAAATGAAATGTTCCTGCAGGCTGACTTTGGCCCCAAGGCCCCACACCGGGCAGCTCTGCTTTAATTCATCTTAGGCTTCTGTTCCAATAATTATTCTATGGCTTGGGGGAGAAAAATATACATATTTGTAGTCCTACTGTGAAACACATTAAAAGCCGTAAATATATGACTGCTTTTGCACTAGTATTAAATAACTGCCAGATAAAGACACATTTAGTTCTATAAAAGTATAGCTATTCAGTTACTGCTGAAGTATTGAAAGTATTGATTCTTCAATATCGTCTCTTTTCCGCTCTTATATAGTGACCTATAGGGCAGGTAGGCCTCACATAATGGTCAGTAAGTGAAAGTACAAGTATTTCTAGGAATACTGAGTGTATATCTTGTATTGCTCTTTTGCACCCTCTGCTGTTGGAAGATATCATGTTTTTAGGCCAGTAGACACACACCAGTGAGGCATAACATTATGACCATCTCCTTGTTTCTACGCTCATTGTCCATTTTATCAGCTCCACTTACTATATAGGTGCACTTTGTAGTTCTACAGTTACAGACTGTAGTCCATCTGTTTCTCTGATACTTTGTTAGCCCCCTTTTACCCTGTTCTTCAGTGGTCAGGACATGGTGGTGGTGTGTGTTGTGCTGGTCTGAGTGGATCAGACACAGCAGTGCTGCTGGAGTGTCCACTCACTGTCCACTCTATTAGACACTCCTAACTTGTCGGTCCACCTTGCAGATGTAAAGTGAGAGACGATAGCTCATCTGCTGCTGCACAGTTTGTGTTGGTCATCCTCTAGTCCTTCATCAGTGGTCACAGGACGCTGCCCACAGGACGCTGTTGGCTGGATATTTTTGGTTGGTGGACTATTCTCAGTCCAGCAGTGACACTGAGGTGTTTAAAAACTCCAGCAGCACTGCTGTGTCTGATCCACTCAGACCAGCGCAACACACACTAACACACCACCACCACGTCATTGTTACTGCAGTGCTGAGAATGATCCACCACCCAAATAGTACCTGCTCTGTGAGGGTCCATGGGGGTCCTGACCACTGAAGAACAGGGTAAAAGGGGGCTAACAAAGTATCAGAGAAACAGATGGACTACAGTCTGTAACTGTAGAACTACAAAGTGCACCTATATAGTAAGTGGAGCTGATAAAATGGACAATGAGCGTAGAAACAAGGAGGTGGTCATAATGTTATGCCTGATTGGCGTATATACTTAATTTTTTTATACACCATTCAGTTGTATTTGGCTTTTATGCAATGCTTTTTTGTGCACTGTAACAGAAAAAACAGTGACACAGTGTCAGATGAGAAGCACTTTAGACAGACATGCTAACAGGCCAAGGAGAAATGTGGAAAATAATATCAGCTTTTCAGGATCACCGCCTTTTAACTGATTTAAACGTGGAAACTGGAGCAGGAATTTGACTTGACTTGCTTGATTCTCACGACAGTAACTTGGGACTTGCTTGAGACTTGAAGGTTAAGACTTGACACTTGCTTAGGACTTGCATGTGTGTGACTTCCTCCCACTGAATGAAGCGTTTCAAACCTCTTTCAATGTCTCTAAGCTGTTTGTGACTAATTAATTTCCATTTTTAAATTGGAACAAAACGTGCAAAAGTAAAATCCAATACTGCTGCACTCCAAATGAAACATTTAGCCTGAGCTGTCCTGAGTGTGGGAATGTGTGCAGTAATTTGCATGTGTTTTTTATGGCTCAGTTTGCAGTGGATTATAAAACTGTGTACCAAAGATTAGCAACTCGGAACATCCAACACATGATTACAGAAACAGCCGATGTGCACCTGAGTAATGATTTAATGTTAACTTACAAGAGAACTTGAATTAAGCATGACTAAAAAATCTTGAAAAAGCCAAAAATCTTGAAAATGAACAACAGATTTTGCTTTAAAAGACTGACCGATAGACTAGATGGATGAAAACTTTATCTTAACTCTCTTCTGCACGCATTATGAGAGCAATTAAAAAATATTCAGTTCACTTTTCTTGCATAAAATTGATCCTTGATTTGTTTTTTCTGACCAGACTACTAAATTCAAAAACTTAAAAAAGTGTGCAGGAGTCCTTTTGGAGTATGTTGCCTTGAGGCAATATTATGCGACAATGGGAAGAAATGATATAGAGCTGCACTCCCTGAAGTGGTGAGACCTGGCTTGTAACGGGCTTAATCCATTCCACTGTTAGACAATGTTGTTTCTTGGCAACAAACATATTTCTGCACACTCATAAAAAAATATATATATATATATTTACTGAACATTAAAAAAGAGGTTTAAATGTGCCCACTAAGAGATAGCATGACTAAGTACATAGTTTTTATTGGCTTACTCAAACTCCTCCATTTATTGTTAACCCTATCATTGTCTTTAATTATGTGTAATGTTATTGTAAAGTGAGGACAATGAGTTTGTTGCCCTGAGGCAACACTGTGCAATAGAAGGTTAAAAACATGCCAAAATATTGAATTTTTTAAATAACTAAAGTTGTAATAATTTTTTTTCTTTCACGTTCGAGATTGTGGTTAATATATATATATGAATCTGGTCTAGTCTGTTGATCTTTAAATAAAGCTATGTTAATGTTAATGTCAAGCTTTTCTGCCTTGTTAAAATTTGAAGATGTTTAATTTGTTTGCATCTCTTCATCGCTTTTGAGTTGATAAAGCAGTTTATTAGCATTTGAGTGTCTTTTTAACATTTTATCCCTCATTGTGAGAATTATTTTCAGGAATGCAGCTTATTTTAAGCATTACATTATTGACCGAAGACACATTTAAAGTCATTTTTGTTTATTTAAAAGCAGCTTTTCTCTAGAATTGGGCTTGAGGCTTTGTTAAAGCATTCCAATAACGAGAAATTTTGCACCAAACAATCTTTTAAGAAAAGTTATATGCTACTTTTGCTCTTTTTACAGGATTATTATGACATTGTATCAAATTAGTCTTACTTAAATCTAGCCGCAATGTCTTAAACCAATAAAATATTTACTAATTTTGGGACAAGATCATTTACAGCACATTTAATATTTTCAGAAGAAAAATCATCTCACCAGTTGACAGATAATTTAGCTTGATGCAGGTACTTTCTTGGTTTGGTTTAATTTACTGTCATATGCAAAAGTTTGTCACACCCCTGGTCAAATTACACGTTTTGTTGAGTTTAGTGAAAATAACTTAACACATCCTCTACAGAGACCACACTTAAATATGGTGTCTGCACATTTTAGCACACAATCTTATTTGTTTACTTAGTTTAAAATATAAAAATGTGCCATAACTTTTGCACAGGCCGCATTTAATGTTTTCATTTTTTTCCAATATGTTAATTCAGCAAATAAATAGTGATTAAAATGTGCAGAAGTGTGTCTCTGTAGAGGATGTGTTGACTTATTTTCACTTAGAAAATTAACAAAAAGATGTTATTTGACCCAGGGGTGCCCAAACATTTGCACACGACTGTAACTTGACAGAAAATGATTCTAAATAACTCTATAACTTCCTCCTGTTACCAAAATACCTACCAAAAACAACTAACAATCCCTGTCGGCACGCTGTGTGCAATACCAAAGTCTATATTGTATGAGTTATTATTGAATGTATAATATAAGTGAAGGTGATTTTGAGCGGTAGTGTTGCGGTGCCTTACGAAGTGACCAGCGAGAGTGAGTTTAAGTTCCGGTGAAGTGTAGAATCAAATTAATGCAACAGGATTTCTCCATTTGGCCAGCTGTTTCTTTCCCACACTCATGATAGTGCTGTAGCTCTTTTACTGCGCGCTCCAGGATGTGAGGACATCATGAGGAAGTTCTTCTAGGTCTCATTTGGGGTATATAAACCATGGTGCCACACGGTGGGAGACAGGCTTCAGCAGATGGGAAAGATGAAGCTCGGAATGATAATCCTGTTCTTTCTGGTAGGGGTCAGCCCTGGAGGTAAGAATGCTCTACAATTTGGATTTGCTGGCTGATTGCGGTGTTACTAGTTAACAATAGTGATTTACAAAAAATGAAATGGTTCTGAGTGAGCTGCACTGACAACCCGTGCAATGTCTGTGTTTATCATTTCAGCAAACGGCTGGTCATGGACAGAAAGTAAATATCATAAAACATGATGCTGATAATGTCGCTTTACACCTTTTTTATTGGTTGGCATTAGTAATTTACAAAAAAGAAATAGTTCTGAGCTGCATTGACAGCCTGAGTAATGTCTGTGTTTATCATTTCAGCAACCAAACGGCCGTGGATAACAGGTAAATATCAGAAAGCATGATGTTGATAAGGGAGCTCATTTACTTCTCTCAGTCTGGCAATTGACCTTCTCATACGGTGAATATCTTTCTGAGGGTCAAAAAATAGCCAGTAATTACCACCATTAATACCAGCTTGATTTTAACTTGAATCACTTTTATTACACAAGGAAGTGTTAACAATGTCCATAAAAAGATATAGACATTTTACAATATGAAATCATAATAGAAATCTACAGATGACATGAAAGATGTGCAATAGGCATCCCATATGGAACTCTGATCTCACGTTTATCATAAAGGGTCAGACATATATTTCAAAATGTACAGATATGTACAAACACACACACATATTACATATATATATATATATATATATATATATATATCCTTATTTATTTCAGTGGTTTGTAGATGATTAATAAACTTTTAACAGAGTATCAGAGTATCAGTAACGCATCAACAACACATCAGTGAAGCAGCAGTAGTTCAGCATCTCAATATATTGAAGTAAATATCTTGAAGATGTACTGTTGATACCTTTCTTACCTTAAGTGAATGTATTGTTGACGTGTGACACGAAGCAGGCTTGTTCTCTCTGTATTAGAGTCTCCTTCCTGCTGGTGGAACTGTGGCTATGACCTCGGCAGCTGTTCCTGCTCCAGCTCCTGTCAGTACTATGGAGACTGCTGCCACGACTACCACGGTCAGGAAATGTAGTTTTAAATAGAGTGACTGAGTAGATTTTTTAAGTGACGTGTACCGACATGTAGAGGTGACTGACTTCAATGTGACTGTGTGTTTACGTCTAACTATTATTTCTCCCACAGATTACTGTGACACAGCTACAACCACAGATGACACCACACCAGGTATATTGTCTTTGTAAGCATACTTACAAAGTGAAATTTCAACATTAAAGCCTGCTCTATAATGACATACGACAAAGTCCGCTCATATAAATATTCCATGCTTTATTTTGTGATTAGTTCTGGCATTCTTTTAGCGAGTAAACATTAAGATAATGTTAACTGAGTTTACCACTAGCTAAGTATAAAAACCACAGATCTTAATGCAGCTCATTTAATGTTTAAATAATGGAACAATGAAATAATCAGTTACAGTGAAGATGGTGGTCCGTCAGAATGGTTTACAGTAAAGCTGATGATACTACATGTTGTGACAGAAATAGCCCTACTGGACATAGAAACCATTAGGTCTTTCTATTGGTTCCTGGTGGTCTTTTAATGCATTTTGGCTTTTCTTGATGAGTTGATATGACAATGAAAAGGATCCTAATGGTTGAACAGGTGAGCTGTGATTGATTCCAAACAGATTTGATGGTTTTCTAATAGGATCCAAAGATGTTCTACAGGAAACTAGTGATCTATAATGGTGGCCATTAATCCAATTCTCAATCATCATCAATCCTAATGGTTCTAACCGTACCATATAGTGTTTGATACAGTATAATCTGCCTGTACTGTAAATGTTTTCGCAGAATTCAACCCAAGATGCTGTTTAAATCTGTAAAACACTTTTAAAATATCATTCTGGCTCAAACACAGTACATTACTGTAGAATAACAGACATTCTTTACAGCGCACACAAATCAGATTACAGTGGGCCAATGGGAGCATGTTTGCAGGGTGCCCCGCCCCACACACTTTTCTTTAGAACTATAAATTTTTGTATTTAATGTCGTACGACATCCATATGTGGCCTGAGAAACCACAAGGGAATTTTTAGGCTTCTGATGTACTTTTGAAAACTAAAAAGTTATGACAGCAATGAAAATAGTTTTACTGTCATTTGAGTTGGTGATGTTGTTGTTATTAAGACAGGCTTGTTCTCTCTGTATTAGCTTCTCCTTCCTGCAGGTGGAACTGTGGCTACAACCTCGGCAGCTGTTCCTGCACCAGCTCCTGTCAGTACTATGGAAACTGCTGCTACGACTACCACGGTCAGGAAATGTAGTTTTATGTAGTGTTATTGTGTAGATTTTTAAGTGATGTGTACCGACATGTAGAGGTGACTGACTTTAATGTGACTGTGTGTTCACATCTTACTATTATTTCTCCCACAGCTTACTGCTACACAACTACAACCACAGGTGCTCCTGACACCACATCAGGTATATTTTCTGTGTTGAGAGAGAGGGAGCATGCGTTCTCTGGAAGAACAACAACAACAATGATAATAATAATTTTTACTTGAATCAACAAAACATCGTCAGGGGTGCCCAAACTTTTGCATATGACTGTATGTTCCATGCATGTCTTACAAAAAGTCAGTGTCTAAGCTAGAGTTGTAAACTCACTATCGCTGCTGTCAAAAGAAAACCTTGTATCTCCATTTTTGTCGTTTTTCAGTTTTTGAGATAATTTGAAAAGGCCTGAGGCTCTTTACAGTGTGTATACATTTCATAAAGAATGGACCAAAATGACTCGGAAAAAAGTTTGGTTCCACTGACTTACATTAAAAGTAAAGTAGGTTTTTTTCCTTTTACTGTAAAGTGATAATTTTGGAGGTTTTCTTCCGACAACAGCGATATGCCATAGTGAATGTATGCCACCGTTAGCTAGGTGCAGACATGGCAATGCAAATTCCTTAGAGGCTGAACACCAAAGCTAGCTGAAATTAGGCTTATTGTAGCTGTGGAAATAAGACACATAAAAAAAAGCATACTTACAAAGTGAAGTTTAAACATTGAAGTCTGCTTCATAACGACATATACCAAAATAAAAGTCTACCCATATCAATATTCCAGGCTTTTCTTGATGGGTTTATATCAAAATGAAAAGGAACGTAATGGTTTAACAGGTGAGCTGTAATTGATTCCAAACAGATTTGATGGTTTTCTAATAGGATCCAAATATGTTCTATAGATAACTAGTGATCTATAATGGTGGCCATTAATCCAATTCATATTAAGAAGCAAAATCAATCCTAATGATTCTAACCATATCATAAAGTGTCTGATACAGTATAATCTGCCTGTACTGTAAATGTTTTCCCAGAATTCAACCCAAGATGCTGTTTAAATCTGTAAAACACTTTTAAAATATCATTCTGGCTCAAACACAGTACATTATTGTAGAATTACAGACATTCTTTACAGCGTGCACCGACCACAGTGGGCCAATGGGAGCATGTTTGCAGAGTAACCCCTACACACACACTTTTCTTCAGAACTATAAATTTTTGTATTTAATCTCGTACGACATCCATATGTGGCCTGAGAAACCACAAGGGAATTTTTAAGCTTCTGATGTACTTTTGAAAACTAATGCTGTTGTTTTATGTAGAATGGAATCTGATTGTCAGTTATGTCAGTAATGAAAATAGTTTTTTCTGTCATTTGAGTTGGTGATGTTGTTGTTATTAAGACAGGCTTGTTCTCTCTGTATTAGAGTCTCCTTCCTGCAGGTGGAACTGTGGCTACAACCTCGGCAGCTGTTCCTGCTCCAGCTCCTGTCAGTACTATGGAAACTGCTGCCACGACTACCACGGTCAGGAAATGTAGTTTTAAATAGAGTGACTGAGTAGATTTTTTGAGTGACGACATTTAGAGGTGACTGACTTTAATGTGACTGTGTGTTCACATCTTACTATTATTTCTCCCACAGATTACTGCTACACAACCACAACCACAACCACAACCACAGGTACTCTTGAGACCACATCAGGTATATTTTCTCTGGAACAATAATAACAACAACAACAACAACAATAATAATAATAATAATAATAACAACAACAACAGCTTTACAGACAGGTGATAAATCTTAACAGTAATACAAGAAATTATGAGTATTAATTTGAAATCATATAAGACAATAACACAGATCAAATTAAAAAGATAAATTAAATGAGAGTTTTAACTAAATACTAAGTTAGAGAAACGTTTTCAAATGTTTCTGAAAAGTCTGCACTGAGCTTGACTGTCTAACAAAAGGTGGAATTGATGTCCACAGTTTAGAAGCATAATAACCCAAAGAGGTCTCTCCATGTTTTCTGTATTTTACTGAAGGCCAGTATCTGCAGTGTCTGTAATGGCCACTTAAATCGCTTTGGAAAGATTACAATAAAGTTAAATGATTGTTTTTATAATGATACAGAGATTAGAAAATGTGACAATAACACATTGGCATGTACTGACATTCTGTACTGTATTTATATATAAACACACAGCTATTCTTTCAAAAGATTATAATAAAGCTAATAACAAACTTCAAAAATTTAAAAATTTCAAAAACTTTCAAAAACTTTAAGTTGAAATATTGTGCAGACGGATCCACTGAAATAACGAAACAAAAATCCAGTCATATTCAAAAGTTTGAAAACTCCTGGTCAAATTACATTTTGTTGATGAAAAGGCCTGAGGCTCTTTACAGTGTGTATACATTTCATGAAGAATGGAGCAAAATGACTTGGAAAAAAAGTTTGGTTCCACTGACTTACATTAAAAGTAGTTTTTTTCCTTTTACTGTAAAGTGATCATTTTGGAGGTTTTTTATACCACCGCTAGCTAGGTGCAGACATGGAAATGCAAATCCCTTAGAGGCTGAACACCAAAGCTAGCTGAAATGGAATGGAATGGAATCTGATGATGTCAGTTATGTCAGTAATGAAAATAGTTTTCTCTCATTTGAGTTGGTGATGTTGTTGTTATTAAGACAGGCTTGTTCTCTCTGTATTAGAGTCTCCTTCCTGCAGGTGGAACTGTGGCTACAACCTCGGCAGCTGTTCCTGCTCCAGCTCCTGTCAGTACTATGGAAACTGCTGCCACGACTACCACGGTCAGGAGATGTAGTTTTATATAGAGTGACTGAGTAGATTTTTAAGTGATGTGTACTGACATGTAGAGGTGACTGACTTCAATGTGACTGTGTGTTCACATCTTACTATTATTTCTCCCACAGATTACTGTGACACAACTACAACCACAGGTGCTCCTGACACCACAACAGGTATGTTTTCTTTGTTGAGAGAGAGGGAGCATGTGTTCTCTGGAATAATAATAATAATAACAATAATAATAATAATAATAATAATAATAATAATTAAAATAGCACTTTTTATGCTGGTTGCAGCTCAAAGTGTTCTACAGACAGGTGATAAATGTTAACAGTAATAGAAGAAATTATGTACTAATTTAAAATCATACAAGACAATAACACAGATCAAATTAAGAAGACAAATACTTAAAAGATGTCGTGTTAATTAAACACCAAGTTAAAGAGATACGTTTTTAAATGTTTCTTAAAAGTTTACACTGACCTTTACTGTCCAATAAAAGGTGGAATTGACTTCGTACCGTTTAGAACCATAATACCTGAAAGAGGCCTCTCTGTGTTTTCTGTATTTTATGGAAGGCCAGAATCTGAAGATGTAAGATTATGTGCTGGAACATAAACAGACAGATATTCTGTGATGTAAGCAGTGCTTTAAGTCTGGTTCCATTGACTTACATTAAAAGTAAAAGTATGTTTTTCCTTCTACTGTAAAGTTATCATTTGGGGATATGAGGATTTCTTCCGACAACAGCGATTATGCTATAGTGAATGTATACCACCGTTAGCTAGGTGCAGACATGGCAATGCAAATCCCCTTTTTCTCTCTGTATTAGAGTCTCCTTCCTGCAGGTGGAACTGTGGCTACAACCTGGGCAGCTGTTCCTGCTCCAGCTCCTGTCAGTACTATGGAAACTGCTGCCACGACTACCACGGTCAGGAAATGTAGTTTTAAATAGAGTGACTTAGTAGATTTTTTAAGTGATGTGTACCGACATGTAGAGGTGACTGACTTTAATGTGACTGTGTGTTCACATCTTACTATTATTTCTCCCACAGATTACTGCTACACAAGCCCAATCACAGCTGCTCTTGACACCACAACAGGTATGTTTTCTGTGTTGAGAGAGGGAGCATGTGTTCTCTATACTACTACTACTACTACTACTACTACTAATAATCATCTTTATTTATACAGCACTTTCAATGCCTGTGGCAGCTCAAAATGCTTTACAGACAGCTGATAAGCTTAACAATCACACAAAAAATTAAGAGTACTAATTTAAAATCATACAGGACGGGCTCCCGAGTGGCGCAATCGTCTAAGCGTTGGTCCTATCATCAGGAGATCGCGAGTTCGATCCCTGGTGATGCTACAGCCATCCGTAGCCGGGAGTCCAAGAGAGCACAATTGGCCTTGCTCTCTCTGGGTGGGTAGGATGACTAAATCGGGGAGAAAATCAGGTAAAAATTAAAAAAAAAAAAATCATACAGGACAATAATACAGATCAAATTAAAAGACAAATACTAAAAAGACATAGTGTGTTAATTAAACACCAAGTTAAAGAGATACATTTTTCAATGTTTCTTAAAGGTTTACACTGAACTTTACTTTCCAGTAAAAGGTGGAATTGAGTTTCTAAAGTTTAGAACTATAATACCTGAAAGAGGCCTCTCCATGGTTTCTGTATTTTACAGAAGGCCAGAATCTGAAGATGTAAGATTATGTGCTGGAACATAAAGACAGATATTCTGTGATGTAAGCAGTGCTTTAAGTCTGGTTCCATTGACTTACATTAAAAGTAAAGTATGTTTTTTCCTTCTACTGTAAAGTTATCATTTTGGAGATACGAGGTTTTCTTCCGACAACAGCGATATGCTATAGTGAATGTATACCACCGTTAGCTAGGTGCAGACATGGCAATGCAAATCCCTTAGAGGCTGAACATCAAAGCTAGCTGAAATTAGGCTTATTGGGGGCTCAGACCCGGATTTCTTTTTGTAATGCTGATTTCCTTGTAAAGCTGCTTTGTGACAACATCCGTTGTAAAAAGCGCTATATAAATAAACTTTACTTACTTACTAAGTTTCTACATTAAAGTCTGCTATATAATAGAATCTTGCTTGTATGTAAACTCTGAATAGTACAGTACTACTCTTTTTTCATTGCGAAATATAAGATCGAAACAAAAGGGTTAATCCTTCAACGACTGAGCAGAAAATGGGCCAGTCAGGAAGTATGGTTTTTGGCCTGTGTGCTATGCATTCCACTCCATGCAAGGAAACTTGGCTTGATATATGTGATGAGGATTTATGTTTGTTTATAAATTAAGATATACAAATGAATAGGATATGTCTAAGCTTATCCCTACCTTCCATAAGACAGCTGCTGCATGGCTGCAGGATTCCCCCAACCCTGCATTGCATTAGCAACTCCACTTTTCCCCAGCATCACCCAGGCCTGATGTTTACTTTCGCTGAAGCTCTGGATGGCTAAACCTCAACATTCAACAATTCAAAAAAGGACTTTGCCTATACAAAAGGACTATGCTATACAAAACCTTTCCTGTTTTGTTGCTATACATGTGCTTTTAAAGTTTCATTGCTCTTCGCCCCCTCCACCTTTGACAAAGACACATTTTTCTAAAAAAGGACTTAACCCCACTGTTTCCACTGTCTAAAAACATTATCCAGTTTTTATAAGGCAACATTTTAAAGAAGGTAAAGTTCTTACTGATTTTACTAATAGATTTCTGGCTTGGCAACTGGACAAATAGGTGTTTTTTAATGCTTGCTAGCTTTATTATGCTCGCCAGTTTAGCTTTTTTTGTCATTAGCTCTCACTTGAATATGAGGAAGGAGATCATTGGGGAACACAGTTTTGTTAAAGCTGTGTTGGTGGGACAAACCACATCACACTTGTGATTGGTGAGGGTAAGGCTCACGTAGACACTATCCAGGTTTAGGACCACCCAGTTTACATCCTGAGGTGAACTTTGACTTAATATACAATCACTGGAATGTTATTCACAGGGCATACTTTATGCACATACAGCCATGTGCAAAAGTTTGAACACCTCTGGTGAAATGACATGGTTTGTTGATTTTTTAAGTGACAATAAGTTAACCTCTAGGTGTCACCAGGGGTGCCCAATATTTTGCACATGAGTATGTATAGTGTGCCCACAAGAACCTACTTAGAAAGAAAACACAGGTGTAGGCTCCCTGGGGCTTTAAAAGAAAGGGTTTCAAAACACAAACAATCATGAAAACTAAGATGACACTAAACTAGAGATTTTTTGGGCTGTACTTAATTTAAATCAGGGATGGTCAAACCTGGTCCTGGAGATCTCCCACTCTGGAGAGTTCAGATCCAACATGCCTGGCCCTAAGTTTCAGATGCTACTGAAGGCCTTATCTACCCGTATCAGATGTAATGGATTAAGGTTGGAGCCAAACTCTGCAGGGTGGTAGATCGCCAGGACAAGGATTGGGCACCCTTGGTCTACCTAGCACACACATCATTTTGCTATGCAGTTGATGAGTTAGGTCAGACTGAAATACTTGTGCCGCTTTACAGGTGGAGCACCATGTGGTGGAGATCTGACTAACTCAAGAGGAGAATTCTTCAGCCCCCAGTATCCTAATAACTACCCAAACAATGCTAATTGCACATGGAGACTTCTGGCATCAGAGAGACAAACTGTTAATTTGACCTTCATGTTTGTTGAGTAAGTCACAGCTTTCCTTCACTTTTACATACAGATCGATTAAGCCAAATCTATTCTTTTCAGATGAATTTATTCATTCAAACTGTTAAAATATGCAGTATTAGACAAGTTATTCTATATCACTCTAAATCATTACTGAATTTGTTTTGCCTTCATAACTGCATCAGTTATAATCTGAAACCAGCTGTAAGCTTATATGTGTATGCTGTGACGCTGCCCTGGGCTGGAATAGATTTCCTTTTTGCAAACTTCCTCAATTCTCTCTTTTTCTCCTTGGAACTAGTTTGGAGGCATGTTGTGACTTTATCAGGGTGTATGACGGTCCCAGTGCTGCTTACCCACTGCTGGGTCGCGTGCCTCAAGATCAGAGATATCACTTCAACTCCAGCAGGAACTATCTGACCGTAGTCTTCTCAAGTGACAGCAGTGTAACTCGTCAAGGCTTTCGGGCACTGTGGGAGTTCGCAGGTTAGTGATGAAAGTGAGGCTACAGTGTCTCTTACTACTTTTTATGAGTGATTTCACACAACCAGCTGAAGCTTTTGCAAGGGTAATACACAATACTCAATTTTAAAATGAATTTTGTTTCAAAAAGCTGATTGGCTGACACACACTCAAAGTTGTTATACAAATATTGTAATGAATTGGGTAGAATCATGAATGGACACTAGCACAGATTTCACAAACACAAACTAATAACAGAATACAGATAAACGAAACCAGAGACAAGACCTAGTAAGCAGTGATGACAACAGGGAAAGCTAGGTTAGGCTAAGCTGAACTAAGCAATACTGTGACTGCAAGATAAAGTACAAAGGAAATAGGGATTAGGAAATGCTAACTGCTCATACAACAGCAAGACCAGAGGCTAGGCTATTGGAATTCAGAAGTATAGGAAGAAGGCTAGACAAGAAGTAAGCAAGGCTAGGCAGGCAGATACACTGTATTGCCAAAAGTATTCGCTTGTCTGCCTTCACACGCATATGAACTTGAGTGACATCCCATTATTAATCCATAGGGTTTAATATGAAGTCAGCCCACCCTTTGCTGGACGAATAGGTGTTTTTTAATGCTTGCTAGCTTTATTATGCTTGCCAGTTTAGCTTTTTTTGTCATTAGCTCTCACTTGAATATGAGGAAGGAGATCATTGGGGAACACAGTTTTGTTAAAGCTGTGTTGGTGGGACAAACCACATCACACTTGTGATTGGTGAGGGTAAGGCTCACGTAGACACTATCCAGGTTTAGGACCACCCAGTTTACATCCTGAGGAGAACTTTGACTTAATATACAATCACTGGAATGTTATTCACACAGCATAAGCCATGTGCAAAAGTTTGAACACCTCTGGTCAAATGACATGGTTTGTTGATTTTTTAAGTGACAATAAGTTAACCTCTAGGTGTCACCAGGGGTGCCCAATACTTTGCACATGAGTATGTATAGTGTGCCCACAAGAACCTACTTAGAAAGAAAACACAGGTGTAGGCTCCCTGGGGCTTTAAAAGAAAGGGTTTCAAAACACAAACAATCATGAAAACTAAGATGACACTAAACTAGAGATTTTTTTGGCTGTACTTAATTTAAATCAGGGATGGTCAAACCTGGTCCTGGAGATCTCCCACTCTGGAGAGTTCAGATCCAACATGCCTGGCCCTAAGTTTCAGATGCTACTGAAGGCCTTATCTACCTGTATCAGATGTAATGGATTAAGGTTGGAGCCAAACTCTGCAGGGTGGTAGATCGCCAGGACAAGGATTGGGCACCCTTGGTCTACCTAGCACACACATCATTTTGCTATGCAGTTGATGAGTTAGGTCAGACTGAAATACTTGTGCCGCTTTACAGGTGGAGCACCATGTGGTGGAGATCTGACTAACTCAAGAGGAGAATTCTTCAGCCCCCAGTATCCTAATAACTACCCAAACAATGCTAATTGCACATGGAGACTTCTGGCGTCAGAGACACAAGTTGTTAATTTGACCTTCACGTTTGTTGAGTAAGTCACAGCTTTCCTTCACTTTTACATACAGATCGATTAAGCCAAATCTATTCTTTTCAGATGAATTTATTCATTCAAACTGTTAAAATATGCAGTATTAGACAAGTTATTCTATATCACTCTAAATCATTACTGAATTTGTTTTGCCTTCATAACTGCATCAGTTATAATCTGAAACCAGCTGTAAGCTTATATGTGTATGCTGTGACGCTGCCCTGGGCTGGAATAGATTTCCTTTTTGCAAACTTCCTCAATTCTCTCTTTTTCTCCTTGGAACTAGTTTGGAGGCATGTTGTGACTTTATCAGGGTGTATGACGGTCCCAGTGCTGCTTACCCACTGCTGGGTCGCGTGCCTCAAGATCAGAGATATCACTTCAACTCCAGCAGGAACTATCTGACCGTAGTCTTCTCAAGTGACAGCAGTGTAACTCGTCAAGGCTTTCGGGCACTGTGGGAGTTCGCAGGTTAGTGATGAAAGTGAGGCTACAGTGTCTCTTACTACTTTTTATGAGTGATTTCGCACAACCAGCTGAAGCTTTTGCAAGGGTAATACACAATACTCAATTTTAAAATGAATTTTGTTTCAAAAAGCTGATTGGCTGACACACACTCAAAGTTGTTATACAAATATTGTAATGAATTGGGTAGAATCATGAATGGACACTAGCACAGATTTCACAAACACAAACTAATAACAGAATACAGATAAACGAAACCAGAGACAAGACCTAGTAAGCAGTGATGACAACAGGGAAAGCTAGGTTAGGCTAAGCTGAGCTAAGCAATACTGTGACTGCAAGATAAAGTACAAAGGAAATAGGGATTAGGAAATGCTAACTGCTCATACAACAGCAAGACCAGAGGCTAGGCTATTGGAATTCAGAAGTATAGGAAGAAGGCTAGACAAGAAGTAAGCAAGGCTAGGCAGGTAGATACACTGTATTGCCAAAAGTATTCGCTTGTCTGCCTTCACACGCATATGAACTTGAGTGACATCCCATTATTAATCCATAGGGTTTAATATGAAGTCAGCCCGCCCTTTGCTGGACGAATAGGTGTTTTTTAATGCTTGCTAGCTTTATTATGCTTGCCAGTTTAGCTTTTTTTGTCATTAGCTCTCACTTGAATATGAGGAAGGAGATCATTGGGGAACACAGTTTTGTTAAAGCTGTGTTGGTGGGACAAACCACATCACACTTGTGATTGGTGAGGGTAAGGCTCACGTAGACACTATCCAGGTTTAGGACCACCCAGTTTACATCCTGAGGAGAACTTTGACTTAATATACAATCACTGGAATGTTATTCACAGAGCATAAGCCATGTGCAAAAGTGTGAACACCTCTGGTGAAATGACATGGTTTGTTGATTTTTTAAGTGACAATAAGTTAACCTCTAGGTGTCACCAGGGGTGCCCAATATTTTGCACATGAGTATGTATAGTGTGCCCACAAGAACCTACTTAGAAAGAAAACACAGGTGTAGGCTCCCTGGGGCTTTAAAAGAAAGGGTTTCAAAACACAAACAATCATGAAAACTAAGATGACACTAAACTAGAGATTTTTTGGGCTGTACTTAATTTAAATCAGGGATGGTCAAACCTGGTCCTGGAGATCTCCCACTCTGGAGAGTTCAGATCCAACATGCCTGGCCCTAAGTTTCAGATGCTACTGAAGGCCTTATCTACCTGTATCAGATGTAATGGATTAAGGTTGGAGCCAAACTCTGCAGGGTGGTAGATCGCCAGGACAAGGATTGGGCACCCTTGGTCTACCTAGCACACACATCATTTTGCTATGCAGTTGATGAGTTAGGTCAGACTGAAATACTTGTGCCGCTTTACAGGTGGAGCACCATGTGGTGGAGATCTGACTAACTCAAGAGGAGAATTCTTCAGCCCCCAGTATCCTAATAACTACCCAAACAATGCTAATTGCACATGGAGACTTCTGGCGTCAGAGACACAAGTTGTTAATTTGACCTTCACGTTTGTTGAGTAAGTCACAGCTTTCCTTCACTTTTACATACAGATCGATTAAGCCAAATCTATTCTTTTCAGATGAATTTATTCATTCAAACTGTTAAAATATGCAGTATTAGACAAGTTATTCTATATCACTCTAAATCATTACTGAATTTGTTTTGCCTTCATAACTGCATCAGTTATAATCTGAAACCAGCTGTAAGCTTATATGTGTATGCTGTGACGCTGCCCTGGGCTGGAATAGATTTCCTTTTTGCAAACTTCCTCAATTCTCTCTTTTTCTCCTTGGAACTAGTTTGGAGGCATGTTGTGACTCCATCAGGGTGTATGACGGTCCCAGTGCTGCTTACCCACTGCTGGGTCGCGTGCCTCAAGATCAGAGATATCACTTCAACTCCAGCAGGAACTATCTGACCGTAGTCTTCTCAAGCGACAGCAGTGTAACTCGTCCAGGCTTTCGGGCACTGTGGGAGTTCGCAGGTTAGTGATGAAAGTGAGGCTACAGTGTCTCTTACTACTTTTTATGAGTGATTTCACACAACCAGCTGAAGCTTTTGCAAGGGTAATACACAATACTCAATTTTAAAATGAATTTTGTTTCAAAAAGCTGATTGGCTGACACACACTCAAAGTTGTTATACAAATATTGTAATGAATTGGGTAGAATCATGAATGGACACTAGCACAGATTTCACGAACACAAACTAATAACAGTATACAGATAAACGAAACCAGAGACAAGACCTAGTAAGCAGTGATGACAACAGGGAAAGCTAGGTTAGGCTAAGCTGAACTAAGCAATACTGTGACTGCAAGATAAAGTACAAAGGAAATAGGGATTAGGAAATGCTAACTGCTCATACAACAGCAAGACCAGAGGCTAGGCTATTGGAATTCAGAAGTATAGGAAGAAGGCTAGACAAGAAGTAAGCAAGGCTAGGCAGGTAGATACACTGTATTGCCAAAAGTATTCGCTTGTCTGCCTTCACACGCATATGAACTTGAGTGACATCCCATTATTAATCCATAGGGTTTAATATGATGTCGGCCCACCCTTTGCAGCTATAACAGCTTCAACTCTTCTGGGAAGGCTTTCCACAAGGTTTAGGAGTGTTTATGGGAATTTTTGACCATTCTTCCAGAAGCACATTTGTGAGGCCAGACACTGATGTTGGACGAGAAGGCCTGGCTCGCAGTCTCCGCTCTAATTCATCCCAAAGGTGTTCTATCGGGTTGAGGTCAGGACTCTGTGCAGGCCAGTCAAGTTCTTCCACACCAAACTCGCTCATTCATGTCTTTATGACCTTGCTTTGTGCACTGGTGCGCAGTCATGTTGGAACAGGAAGGGGCCGTCCCCAAACTGTTCCCACAAAGTTGGGAATAAGAAATTGTCCAAAGTCTCTTGGTGCTGAAGCATTAAGAGTTCCTTTCACTGGAACTAAGGGGCCGAGCCCAACTCCTGAAAAACAACCCACACCATAATCCCCCCTCCACCAGACTTTACACTTGGCATAATGCAGTCAGACAAGTACCGTTCTCCTGGCAACCACCAAACCCAGACTCGTCCATCGGATTGCCAGACGGAGAAGCGTGATTGGTCACTCCAGAGAACATGTCTCCACTGCTCTAGAGTCCAGTGGCGGCGCTTTACACCACTGCATTCGATGCTTTGCATTGCATTTGGTGATGTAAGGCTTGGATGCAGCTGCTCGGCCATGGAAACCCATTCCATGAAGCTCTCTACGCTGATCTTGAGCTGATCTGAAGGCCACATGAAGTTTGGAGGTCTGTAGCGATTGACTCTGCAGAAAGTTGGCGACCTCTGCGCACTATGCGCCTCAGCATCCGCTGACCCCGCTCTGTCATTTTACGTGGCCGACCACTTCGTGGTTGAGTTGCTATCATTCCCAATCACTTCCACTTTGTTATAATCCCACTGACAGTTGACTGTGGAATATTTAGTAGCGAGGAAATTTCACGACTGGACTTGTTGCACAGGGGGCATCCTATCACGGCACCATGCTGGAATTCACTTAACTCCTGAGAGCAACCCATTCTTTCACTAATGTCTGTAGAAGCAGTCTGCAGGCGTGGGTGCTCGGTTTTATACACCTGTGGCCATGGAAGTGATTGGAACACCTGAATTCAATGATTTGGATGGGTGAGTGAATACTTTTGGCAATATAGTGTATGTTAAGACATGTACAGGCTGGTAGGACTAGAACCTAGGCTAGGCAGGACGAAGACAAAGTGACAGACACTGCAGAAATGTTCTCTCCGATTCTTTCTTATGACCTGTATGCGTTAATGTCAATGAAAAGTTGCCAAATAACATATTGCAGTAAATAATGAGAAGATAGAGTTGAGCATATGGCTGTTTATTAGAAGAAATAATGTTAGGGCATGTCACAGCTGGCTAAAGCCTTGGGACATAAATGACATAAGAACTAATTAGCGACATCAATAGAATAGTTTAGGATTTCCTGATTTGAGATCAAATATAGTTCATAAATGAAGGTAAGATTTGTTTCTGCAATATGAATTGGCAAAAAAATTGTTTCTTGAACTTGTCAGATCTTAACTTAGGACTAAAGGTGGGAAGTTTCTGTAACACGGTCCCAGGAAGGGGAACTCTTGACAAATACTGAAAATACACATACAGTTGCATGAAAAGGTTTAAACCCCCTGGTCAAATTACGTGTTTATTAAATACGTTTATTAAAGTGACAATTGTGTCCGGAGTTAGCGTAGTAAGCCATGCCTTGGTGAAAAGCATGATGCTATACTTGTGGTAATCCCTCTGATGTCGGGTCAGTGCCGTTAGCTTGTCCATCTTACTGGGAAGAGAGGGAAGAACTGGTCTATAACATTTCCTCCTGGCCTGATGCTGAGCTTCAGCACAACTCCCTCGTTTCTTCCTCCTCAGCTCACAGGAGATATCGGCTGTCTCATTCAGTAGCACCACTGTGTTGCGTAGCTTTTACAGCTCATCCCTACTGTAAACAGTAGGGCTCTGTACGGGATCTCCAAACACAGTCGTAAACAGAGAAAAAAGTAGAACAAGGACCAGGGCAAACTCTACAAGTTTGGTGTCCATAGTGCAAAAACCTTGACAATCAAACAAAAACAATATAACTTAAAAAAGAAAAGGGGAAAAGTACAGAAAGTAAGAAAAAAGCTCAAAGTGGACCAGAGCTGATGCAGCAGGCTGCCCCCTCGTGGAGCCATATTGGTTCCGCAGGGAACAAACTTAAATACAGCATTTTTCTGTCATTTTTAGTGCACAATTTCTGTTTATTACTAAAATACAAAGTGTGCCATACCTTTTGCGCAGGTCACATTTTATTTTCTCAGTATGTTAAATTCAGAAAATGCACAGTAATTGCACATAAAAATGTGCAGAAACGTGCTTATGGCATGCGTCTGTCCCCCGGGCCCCGATGACGGCCACGAGAGCCGGCAGGAAGGCGGGGCCTGAACACCAAGAGAGGACAAAGCCTGGTGAGGACAGCAGGGAGAGGAACACCGCGAGTGAATGGGGGATGGTGCACAAGTCCCGAGCCCAGCCTCCTGGGTGCTGCCTCCGGTCCCGCAGCGAGGCCACATTAACTTGCTTCATGTTCGATCCAGAAAGGGACTGAGAAAGAGAGGGACAAGCAGCGGGAGCAAGAGACGGAGTGAAGAGCTGAAAAGCTCAACTGAAAGAAGGACTGAAAAGTGGCCAGCTTTGGTTGTTTTATGTTTTGGTGTTTTGGTGAGTGAAAATAAAAGTGAAAAGGATGCTGCAAACGTTTCTCCTGCCACCAGCGTCCTTCTTGAGCCCGGGGTGGCACAGGACGTACTACAGTGCTCTCTGTAGAGGATGTCTTAACTTATTTTCACTTAGAAAGTCATGTAATTTGACCAGGGGTGCCAGTACTTTTGCATATCACGCTATAAGACAACACACATCAACTGACGTTTGTTACTAAAATCATTGTGCTGTTCATGGAATAATCTTTGAGTGTTATGTTGCTTGGTAGCCATAGCCTACTGTTAATGACCCTCATCGCTGTTTTCCCTCTTGGACAGAAATGCCTTACTGCAGGGGGAACTGTGGCTATAGTTTTAGTCGATGTTCTTGTGCCAGCTCCTGTCAATACTATGGAAACTGTTGCCATGACTACTACAGTGAGCACCTCCTGATCTTACACACAACAGCCATTCATTTGCTGAGCATGAGCTAATCTCAGTTTTTAAATTATACCTGCTGTGGACGCTTTTCGGTCAGTGCTAATCCACTGTCTTGTATCTTCTTTGTGCAGCGTACTGCTCGGCCACAACCAAACGGCCACCAGGTAAGAATAATCTATTACTAGACTGAATTTGCATCATGGATCTTTCATACGATACATGACAATTTGGGTATTTGGGTGCAATTTGGCAATTAAACCCAAATAATCAGTCACTGGACCATTTTTAGCCAGTTTTTTTATCTATATGTCAATGTTTTGAATGTATTCAGTGTCTCAAGAAATTGTATTAGTTTTTAAATTTTTTAAATTATTAGATTATCCTGCTACCCAGAGCTACAGCTACTTCCTTTATAGCTCAAAACCGGCTTTTGAAAAAGGATACAGATATGTCCTTCTCTATGACTTTTCGGTCAGCCAACATGTTTTGGTATTCTTTACTTCTTTACTTTAGAGTCCTTGCCAAATAAATAGCTTGAATTTCGTGGTTCCAGCTGAACTACATTGTTTATGCTATTCTAGTGCTGGTTTAGCTGGTCACCCAGTATGGACCTGCTGGAGATTGAGCGTAACCAGCATTCAAAACACAACATATGCTGGTTATGCTGGTTGACTAGATACACTAGAAGTCAGTAGTCAATAGTTTTCTATAAGGACATCTCCAAAAGTTCTCTCAAACACATGCAGGTCTTCATTCTTCATCGTTAAGGTTATACAGACTTGTCTATGTGGGTTTGGACACAGTTTGTCTTACAGTGGACTATAAAAAAAACTAAACGCAGCAGGCAGCCATTTTAGACGCCAGCTAAACAAAACACTGTGCAGCTATTTTAGATCAAATGTGCTTGGCTACACAGTTTTGTTGATTTGTGTAGTTTACAGTAAATCACTCTGTGCTCTAAAATACATCAGCAATTCACATGACTTTAATGAAGACCTGAACGTGCTTTGACTAGTGACTAGGCTTTGCTAGCGCTACTATGCCCAAGTGCTAAACTAAAGAAGCAAAATTTGGACAGGAAACACGTCTCTGCTGATCACAGCACATCTGGCTTAAGTGAAAATGTGTATTTTGATTTTTCTCCAAACCATTCCTTTAAATGTGCCATTAAACCTTTATTAACCCTTATTTTGTCCTGATCTCCAGTGACTCACCCCACCTGCGGAGGACGCTTGTTTGATTCCGGGTCAATCTCCAGCCCCTACTACCCAAATTATTACCATGATAACGCATATTGCGTATGGCAGCTCTCTGCTCCTGCAGGGCAGAGGATCTTTCTGTCGTTTGTAGATCTTGAGTAAGTAGAATACTCTAAAAGAGATCTTCTCTTAATCTCATTTACTTCTCCTAGACAAAGTTAAATCCTGGTGGATATTAGTGTGAGACTTAAGCCTTTTTCCGATTTTCTTACTCAGATCAAAATGAATTTACAGATAAATCGATCAGGCATAACATTATGACCACCTCCTAGTTTCTACACTCACTGTCCATTTTATCAGCTCCACTTACTCAGACACAGCAGTGCTGCTGGAGTTTTTAAACACCTCAGTGTCGCTGCTGGACTGAGAATAGTCCACCAACCAAAAATATCCAGCCACTGATGAAGGACTAGAGCGGGGGTCTTTAATTAAAATTCAATAAGGTCCAGTTAGAGAAAATTTCCTCAAGCAAAGGTCCAGAACATCATAATGTCTAACTTGCATTATAATTCAGTGCCATATACTGTAAACTGATTTAGCCTAGTAGGTATATCAACATCTTATGTAGTCGACAACTGAATTTCAGATCAAATAAAGTACAATTCAGTAACATTTCAACAATATTTGTCAGTTTTCATATCATATCATATCATGTCATATTTGTAAAATGATCAAAATAGTAAGTCGCTCTGGATAAGAGCATCTGCCAAATGCTCTCTATATAAATGAAAATTAGCCTTGTAGCTCCAGTCCAAAACTAAAGAAGCTGACGTCAGCCACCAAACGTGTCTTGGCTCATTGCCTACATTTGGGGTAAGGGGGAAAGTTTACACTAGACTATTACTTTAAAAGACGGTTAATCAGCTAATGGCTCTGTGTTTGTGGCTCAGGCTGGAGCGCTGCTGTAACTGTGACTATATATACGTGTATGATGGCTCCACCACCGCCTCCTCACTGCTGGGCAAGCTGTGCTACAATGACACCACCCTCCGGGACTTCCGCTCATCCTCCTCATACATGACTGTCCTGTTCAGGAGCGACGGCTCAGGCGTGGCCCGCGGCTTCAAAGCCTCCTTCAGCAGCTCTCTGCCCGAAAATACAGGTAAACTCAGCAAAAGGGCAAACAGTACAATTGCCATAGGTGTATCCTCTGAGTCCATTCCCAATAGGGCCCTGTAAATCTAGGATAAGGTTCTGTCTTTTTTGAGCATCTACATTCACAGGAATGTGAAAAGCAAAACTGACCCTAGAGCAGCATTATTTCATAGGAGTTAAGTATGTGTGGCTGTTTAACTTCTTTTCACAGTAGCCATAAAATGCAATTTCCACCTGAGTTTATGCATCATGCATTTCTGTTCTTCAGTCACAATGTTGTTTTTAATTTCAATGCGAATGTGTATGATTTACAAAACTGCAAACAAACTGGCTTTTCATCTTTGTAGGTGTGCAAGCAAGTCAACTTCTATAAAAGAAAGCAATTAAATGGTATTTTTATTGTGGCAGTTGTTGGATATAACGAAAGCTGAATAAATAAATGAACAAATTTTTATTTTATATAAAATAAATTATTAATCTGACAATTGATTCCGAACTTTTGAGTAGTGTCTGCAGACATGTGTAAGCCTCTCATATAACGAAGCCCAGGTGTCTCAGTGTTCTCAACTGCTGAACCCCTCTGTTGTGCAGCTAGAGTGGTCTGTTCCTCAGACAGCATGACCATTGTAATTCAGAGATCATACCTGAACTCTCTGGGCATCGGCTGGCAAAATCTCTATGTGGATGACCATCGTTGCAGACCTTCTGCTAACAGCTACGAGGTGTCCTTCAACTTTCCCATTGACATGTGTGGAACCAGTAAAACGGTAAGATAAATATTACATATTAGATTACAAAATGGACAAAGGTAGATTAGCAGTGGTGTAAATCTCTGATCTTTGTCCTCACAATGATTTGATTTAGTTCACTGCACTCTATTTTTTAAACACTGTGTCCACTCACTGTCCACTCTATTAGACACTCCTGCCTGGTTGGTCCACTTTGTAGATGTAACGTTGGTGACGATAGCTCATCTGCTGCTGCACAGTTTGTGTTGGTCATCCTCTAGTCCTTCATTAGTGGTCAAAGGACGCTGCCCACAGGACGCTGCCCACAGGACGCTGTTGGCTGGATATTTTTGGTTGGTGGACTATTCTCAGTCCAGCAGCGACACTGAGGTGTTTAAAAAACCCAGCAGCTGAGAATGATCCACCAGCCAAATAGTACCTGCTCTGTGAGGGTCCATGGGGGTCCTGACCACTGAAGGACAGGGAAAAAGGGGGCTAACAAAGTATGCAGAGAAACAGATGGACTACAGTCTGTAACTGTAGAACTACAAAGTGCACCTATATAGTAAGTGGAGCTGATAAAATGGACAATGAGCGTAGAAACAAGGAGGTGGTCATAACGTTATGCCTGATCGGTGTATGCAGCTTAGGGTTAACTTGTTTTACGATGGCAATTAACTTTCACTGTTGGCTCAGATTTAGTTGCTCAGATTGTGACTAATCCTAGTAAAGTAATTATAAAAGTAATGCTGTCACCACTGCCACCATGTTGATGCGCATTGTTATTAAAATTGCTTTATATTCTTAATAATTATGTAGCATGATTTGCTCACTCTGCTAAAAATGTGCTTTGTGTGATTGTTACTACAAATGTCATGAAGTAAAAAAGTGACCAGAGGGGTCCACCTCCGTCTGTCACTCCGTCAATTGATCCAAAGCTGCTGCTGATTGGTTCAAGGGCTGTTTATGTGGCAAAATACTGAATTTAACCTGGCCTGGGGCCGGTTAGGCGTACAAAAACACAAATAATTCTGGGTAGCTCCACCCTCAGTGCTTAATGTAAAGCCAGGCATCTTCTCAGGATGATATAAGGATGGATCAGGACCAGGTCCACATTTATCAAATATCTCAGATTAAGAATGTGATTCTGGGATTTATCTATGCTGGTTACATAACACTGAATGGGACAACATGAAGTAATGAGACCTGGGCCTGTATTTTTGAAGCTTTTTAGAGTAGGAGTGCTGACCTAGGACTCCTCTCTTGTTCGCTGTGACCCTCCTAACGCTAAGGCCCAATCCAAGTTCTTCTTTTTACCCCTACCCCTTGTTTTAAATGTCACCCTAACCCCTTGGAACTGAGTTACAAGAGGTAGTGGTTGAAATCTCGCCCTACGAAATGGGACCCTCAAATTAAAAAAAAAACAAAAACACATTACTTCATTAACAGCTGCTAGCGCTGCTCTGCAGGCGACCTGCCTACCCCTAGATGTGAACACACAAAAAAGCGGGCTAATGGCTAAGAGGTAGGGGTAAGGGGTGAAATGGGATTGGGCCTAAGACATCCTAGATCAGCGCTCTTTTTCTGCAAACCTTCATGAATATAGGCCTTGATCTTAGATCAGTTCTTTCTTTGAGACGCTTGATGAATATGAGCCCAAGATTGGGACCCACTGCTCTAGAACTAGGTTTCTCATTGTCAGAACGTGACTTATTGGTTTACATTATGCTTTCTTTTTTCCTCCCCCTTTAGACCAACAATGGACGTGTTGTCTACAATAACCACGTGCGAGCGGCGCCAACCCAGTCAGGCGAGATCACACGGCAGCTCGAGCAATTCTTGCTGAGCGTGCGCTGCCACATGGAGCAGGACACCACAGTGGGGACAGTCTACAAGGTCAAAGAGATGATCAACAATACCATCAGCGGCACCGGCCGCTTTAACGCCAGCATGGCCTTCTACCCTTCCAGCAGCTTCTCCTACCCTATACTCCAATTTCCCTATGAGGTCAGCCTCAATCAGTACCTGTACGTTCAGGTGCAGCTCAGCAGAGCAGACAACACACTGGACCTTCTGCTGGACAGTTGTGTGGCCTCTCCCAACCATGACTTCCAGGCTCGCTCCTACACCCTGATCCAAAACGGGTAAGAGAGCCAGTGGCAGAACAGTCTGTGGACAAGTACTTCAGTGTTCTACTGTACTGGACTAATTATCATGACTGGTTTTAATTATACCTTGTGTGGATTTGACTTCAAACTCATGTAGTGGATGTTCATGTAGGTCCAGTTTTAAAAGGACTTTCAGAATCATGTAGATTCACTACTGGTCCTGGAGAACCCCAACCTTGCAAGGGTTTTCCCAGCTGTAAAACACCTGATCCAACTAATTATTATCAAACCTTTACTGAGTTGTTGTAGCAAGGAAAGTAAAAAAGGAAAGGTGGGGGTATTCCAGGATCGGGTAGAACCATCATGGTACACTGAATTGTACACTAGTTTATTAGGGACACCTATTTTGAATCTACCCTGGCCATCTTATCATGTATACCTGCCATATATACTATGTCAGGCTCCAGTCCTCACCAAAACACTGCAGACTTCAACACACTGGCTCATTAAACACACCTGATTCAGCTTGTCAGCTAATTAGCAAGGCCTTCATGATCTGAATTCAGAGCGTTAGATGAGGGTAAAGATTGATCTTTGAAGCTCTTTGACCTGGAAGACTCCCAGTTTGACACACCTGATATACAGAGTACTGTGCAAAACTCAGAGAGCACCCTTCATTTATTTTCATTTAAAGTGGCCATCAAGTACATATTTAACAGAAAATTACACAGAAACCTCAACAGCTGAATATAAATTTTTCAGTATTTAGTCTGTCCACACTTCGACTTTATTACAACTTCCATTCTTTTTGGGAGACACACTTTCAGTTCAGGTATATTTTTCCCACACCTCCAAAGTTCAGTCTTAGAAGTTGGTTGCATTTTTTACTTCTCACAAGAAAACTCAAACACATTCAGTGATGTTGAGGTCTGGACTCTGGGGTGGTCAGTCCATTGTTCTGAGAACATCAGCAGCTTCTTCTTTTTTGTCCGTTTCCTTTTTTCCATAACAGCTTCTTATCAGCTACACGTCCGTCTTCTCACAGTGGAAGGATGGACAGAAGCCCCTGTGGATTTTTTTCAGATCCGAAGCAGCTTGATTTTCTCCTCTCTCTCAAAGATGAAAGCTTTAAGTGCTGTTCATCTGATGAGGACAATTTTGGTGGTCCACCAGGTCTTGCATGATTCTTTGGATCCCCATTTTCTCTATATCTTTTTATAAAACCTTATATTTTGATTATGAAGAGTCTTGTTTTTTTGTCAATTATTTTTCCCCTTTCTTATCCAAGGGATAAGAAAAATCAGAAATATCCATTGTACTTAATGACCATTTTAATTGAAAGATCAATAAATGAAGGGTGGTCTCTGACTTATGTACAGTACTTTAGATGTACCTTTTTCCAACTGTATATCATCGGTTGCTGCACAAATGTATCAACCCCCCTGTGGTCTGTGAAGGATGCCCAATAGGAACTTCCCTAACCTCTCTTCCTATCAGACTTTATTAAGCATTGTCTGGCTAATCGCATTGTGAAAAACCTCCTATTCAAAAAGGTGTAAGTAGCACTCAGAAGTCAGACGTCTTTGGATGCAGCATAGCCTACATTCAAGACCTCAAACATCTCATTAGTTAAGACTTCAAAGTAGATGTGATCTTTCCTCTTCTTTGCTGTTTTCTTTTAGCTGTGCGAAGGACAGCACGGTCTACATTTACACCAACGGGAGGCAGTACTACGCTCAGTTCCATTTCAGGGCCTTCAAGTTCCTGCGGACTCATTCCTACGTCTTCCTGCAGTGTAGGGTGATCGTCTGCGCTGACAGCGACTACAACTCCCGCTGTCGCCAAGGCTGCCGTATGCGCAAGAAGAGATCCCTCGACTCCTCCCACCACACTGAAACGGTCACACTGGGGCCAATCACCCTCAAAGGTCAGAGGGCAGTTTCTGTTTCCTAGCATCTTATAGTGTGTTTGGAATGAGACCATAACGTAACTACCAGTTGTTGGTGGTCATTGACAAGTGGAAAATTTACATATACTGTACGTCCAAAAACTTCTACTCATCCAGCATTTCTTATGAAATCAAGGGCAGTAACAGCCTCTACTCTTCTGGGAAGAGTTTACGATAGATATTGCAGCATTACTGTGAGGATCTAATTGCACTCTGCCAAAAGAGCTTTAGTGAAGTCAGGTGCCGATGTTGGATGATTAGTTCTGGATCACAAATATCGCTCCAGCTCATCCCAAAGATACTGTAGGGTGCTTCATCTCTAAAAAGTGCAGTTCCACTGCTCCACAGCCCAAACCTGGGGAACTTCATACCCCTCTAGTTTTTCTTCCTTTAGTTTACCACTGGGGTTACAGGGCTAACTTTGCTAACAAACACTATAGTCACCCATTTTTTCCATAAATACATCTACAAAACTTCTGTCAAACCTATATAACCCTACATAGGTCTTCATGAAGGTCCTGCAGATTCGTCAATGTAGTTTAAATTAATAAAATTTAGTGGTGAAGCCGAATGCTGTGGGCAGTCATTTTAGACAATGCTGTCATGGCAGTTTCACCTCCCATGAAGAATCTGCCTCTGTTGTATGTCGTGTTACATCATGAAGGCATATAAGCACTTCTAAATATACTTTAAATTCAACATTAAGTTATTTATAAAAAAAAGGAACAACAGAAATTCGACAGCTGTCATGTAAAGTGGCTGCTACCATGTTCAGCTACAAGGTTAAGTTTCATTCATTTTTATAGTTCACAGCACATCAGTGTTCTAAACTGCATCCACTAGTTTGTGCGACCTTGATGAAGACCGGGCTGTAGTCTGAGCGGGTTGAGAGAAGTTTTGGGGATGTATTTAAAGAAAAAAATTGGGCAACTATTGATGTCCAGTGATTGTTAGCAACGTTAGCCTCTTAGGTCCAGTGCTAAACTAAAGAAGCTGACATCATGTGGCTGATCGGCTACATTGGAGCTAAGTGGAAAACTGTGTAAATTAAATTTTTCACCAAACTATTAGCAGTGGTCACCAACCCTGGTCCTTGAGATCTACCTTCCTGCAGAATCTAGTTCCAACCACAATTTGCCTCACCTGCTCCAGCTGAATAACTTCTTCAGAAGTTCTTGATTCTCTGGATCAGATGAATTAGTGTAAGGTAGGAGAGGTAGCAGCATGTTAGATGCAGGTTGGAAGTAAACTTTACAGGATCTTCAGGACTAATTAAAGTTTTAGTGGTAGGACATAAGACATTCACCTTTTTAGCACAATTGAAACAAAGCTTTCTATTATACAGCGTGATTCAAAAAGATTCATCTGATTTCAAAATGATTTATTTCAATTGTAAATCATTACAGATCAATGCAGTAAACTGTAAATGGTTTAAATGAGCATAAAGTTTATTACGTAATTGTACAAGGTCTCAGTATGAACCTCCTCCAGCTGTACAGACAACATCAACGCCATAGTCAAATTCATCCCATACTGGATTGAGCGTGTCGGGTGTCGCTGCACTCACGGCTCTTTCAGTGCGATTTCGGTGATCATCCAGTGTTGTGGAACCAACGCCGAACGCTCTGAGCTGTTGGAGGTTCACTGCCCACGAAAATCACTCTGCACAGTTATGACAGATTCACTCTTATTGAAGTGGAGAACGCAGAACGCTTTCTGCTCACATCTCCTCTCAGACTGAAGGGAGCCATCTTCCACGGACATTTAGAAACTCTATAACCCCCTCTTACAATTGGATTGTGATTGTTTCCTAGGAGCCTCACGGTTGTAAAATATGGCGCTTTGAAATCGGATTAGTCTTTTTGAATCACCCTGTATATATTGTTTTTTGTTTTAGGATTTGATGTCCTGAAACAAGTGCTGATAATTATATTTTCAATCACCAGGTGCCAAAGCAGAGTCTGCTGCTGAGGTTGAGAAAGAGGAATGAGCTCACTTCACTCCACCCAGGAGTAATCTCTAATCTCTTCTTCACTTATCACTCAACAAATGGAGCATTTACTTACTCACTTCTATTAAAGCATTCCCAAAAGGCAAACCTGTGTTTCTTGTTTTTCATTTCATCTGTATTGTGATTAAGCTTTACAGTACATTACTGCACAACTACCATGAAAATACATGTAAGCCAGACTTCAGGTAGTTATACAGCTAATATATGATGTGAAAGTGCTGCAGTGGAATTGTGCCCAAATCCAACACTTTACATGCATTAAACATATTTTCTTTGAGGTCCACTTGAGGACATTTGTGTGGTTTTAAAAACAGTCATGATTAATTTTTACATGACCATTTTCCAACCTTCCTTTGTCCCTCAGATTTGGGGCAGGGGTAGACTTGTGTTAGCTGTATAGGCAGATGTGCACATGCTGACATCATATAAGCAGTGAATTTAAAATGTTTTGCAGTGAATTTAACTTTTTTTGCAGTTTAGTCTCCTCATATGAACGGTGTAGATTTTGGACATGAATGGCATGTTTTGAAACTTTAAGATTGTTTACGTACTTTTGCAAAATGTGGGCCCTTCAGTAATTCTGCAGTCATCTTTTGAACATAATCCACATCAAGATCATTTGCGGCAACTTGTTAGCATAATTTCATAGTTCATTGGCATTTAACACCGATATCACCAGAATATGTTATACAATACTTACGTTATGTTTAACAGGCTTATGATTAGGCACAAAATCCAAAATGCGCAGCATTGCAGTGCAGTGTCCTATAAACCTAATCTAGATTTAGAGTGCAGTATAACCACTACAGAGACGCTGGAGTCTTTTACTTTACTCCAACAAACAGAGCTTGTCCAAATTATTTCATCTTCAAAAACAACAACTTGTATACTAGATCCTATTCCTACAGGTTTACTTAAAGATGTTTTGCCAGAAATAACCAAGCCTTTTCTATCTATAATAAACTCTTCTCTCAGCCTCGGCTATGTTCCAAAATCTCTTAAATTAGGTGTAATTAAACCCATAATTAAGAAACCTAGTCTTGACCCCTCTGAGCTATCAAACTATAGACCTATTTCAAATCTTCCCTTTTTATCAAAAATTTTAGAGAAAGCTGTGGCAAAACAATTATGTTCCCATCTGCATAGGAGTAATATACATGAAAAATTTCAGTCTGGCTTCAGGCCTCACCACAGTACCGAAACAGCGTAAGTGAAACTTGTAAACGATCTTTTATTATCCGCTGACAAAGTAAACATATCCTTACTGGTTTTACTCGATCTTAGTGCAGCTTTTGACACAATAGACCATTCCATTCTATTAGACAGGCTTGAAAAACTAGTAGGAGTGACAGGTAAAGCTCTTTCACAGTTCAAATCTTACCTTAGCGATCGCTTTGAGTTTGTTAATGTAAATGGTGAACCATCAGCTCTCACAAGAGTAAAGTATGGTGTTCCACAGGGCTCTGTCTTAGGACCCATATTATTTACCTTATATATGCTACCACTAGGTACCATCATTAGAAAACATGGCATCAGCTTCCACTGCTATGCCGATGATACACAATTATATATTTCAGCTAAACCAGAGGACAAAACTGAGCTTAATAAGATAGAGGACTGTGTAAAAGACATTAAAGACTGGATGTCAAGTAACTTCCTCTTACTAAATTCGGAAAAAACAGAAGTTCTTCTTCTGGGTCCAAAAGCTGCTAGGGATAATCTGCCTATGTTTACTCTTAATCTCGATAGTTTCTCAATTGCACCAGGCACATCTGTAAAAAGCCTTGATGTCACGATTGATCCCAGTCTGGCCTTCGATGAGCATATTACCAATATTACCAGAATAGCTTTCCTCCACCTGCGTAACATCGCTAAATTAAGAAATGCACTGTCGCTACAGGATGCAGAAACGTTAGTTCATGCCTTCATCACGTCCAGGTTAGATTACTGTAACGCTCTGCTTTCTGGTTGTTCCAACCAAAACCTTAACAAGCTTCAGTTAGTCCAGAACGCTGCAGCCAGAGTTCTCAGCAAAACCAGGAAATCTGACCATATTAGCCCAATTTTGTGTACCTTCATTGGTTGCCAGTTAAATTCCACATTGAGTACAAGATTCTTCTACTGACGTATAAAGCTTTGAATGGCCTTGCTCCTCAGTACCTCAGTGACCTTATTTCCTATTATCAACCGACACGCCCACTTAAATCACAAGGTGCTGCTCATTATTAGTACCCAGAATTAATAAAGTTACGTCAGGGGGAAGAGCCTTTTCATACAAAGCCCCCCAGCTTTGGAATAGCCTACCAGTCTGTGTTCGGGACTCAGCCTCCATCTTTAAGTCTAGGCTAAAAACTTACCTGTTTAGTCGAGCCTTTGGTTAATTTGTTTTCCTAACTATGTCCCTCTTATCCCCCCCACCCCCCGTCTTTTTCCCTGAGCTGAGCGGCTGCCTGTCCCAAGAGGGTCTGACGTGACTGATGCGGCCGGCGCACTGCACAGTGGTGTTAAACTGTATCCACTTACACTGGTTTGTGTCTGTGCTGTTATCCGGTGTCGACCAGAGGAGGATGGGTTCCCCTATTTGAGTCTGGTTCCTCTCAAGGTTTCTTCCTCCTGTTGAGGGAGTTTTTCCTTGCCACTGTCGCCAAGGCTTCCTAACTGGGGGTGTGGACCTGGATTCTCTGTAAAGCTGCTTTGTGACAACATCTGTTGTAAAAGGCGCTATATAAATAAATTTGACTTGACTTGACTTATGAAATGTCTCGATTACAGCACTACAAAAAAGTCCAATGTTACTGTTATGGGACGGCAGGGAGGCGGACCCAAATGCAGAGAGGAAAACCAATGAGAAAGGGTTTTAATTGAGTTTATTGAGATGATGGAGTGTGAATTTGGTGATTGTGCATGTTGGGGTTGAGGTGGCTCAGAGCCAGACTGGAAGCACAGGCAAAAACAAGAAAAACACCTCAATGAATGGGAATAAAAATGGCAGGAAAAATACGAACAAAGGGGAGCTGAACGCAGCGTCCAAAAAAAAGGCTGAGATAGAAAAGTGAAATAAAAGATAATCAGAAAACAAACAACACTTCCTCTGTAATTATGAGAGGAAGGTCAGATTTCTGTTTCACCACTTTTTGTATGGCTTGGAGCCGTTTCTTGTTCAAGCCTTCTTTTTGGCTTTTAAATAGTTTTCTGAGAAAGACGCTCAGAAAATTTGCATCTGACACCTGTGTTGAAAGCACATCTGCTGCTTCATCCACCACACAGCAGTGGAGGTAGTTCAGTTTTTTAAAAAGAAGAAATGTTTAAGTTGGGCTGTTTTAGATTCTTTTATATAATATATATAAGGACTTTTATGCAGAAGTGCCTGAATATGGGTGGAGTGGTGGGTTTTCCAGAGTAGAGTGGAGGGTTATGTTTTTTGTTGTTAGCGCTGGAGAGGTTGTGTTTCATTTTGTCATGTTTGGCACCATTTTCAGCAAATTAAAATAAATCTGCATTATTAACCGTATCCTTGAGTCGTCTAAGTTTCTCCCAAGAACGCTGAACGTTGTAATTCACCTGTATTGATGAAAAAAAAACCCTGAATATGTGAATCCCAAAATTAAAAACCAAAAACCTACCCAATGAAGGAATATCCGAATAGTCCAGCCCTAATCATGAATAATTACCAATAACCCAGTTTCATTGTTAACCATAAATGCTTTAACACTTCCTCCACCATGTTTTAATGATGATGTGGTATGTCCTTCCTTTACTTCTCCATGCTGTCTTCTTCCCATTATTCTAGTACAAAGTATTTTTTTCAAGAACTGGCCAGACATTCAGATGTTTTCTAGGAAAGCCTTTCTGTTCTTGAGTGTTACTAGTGGTTTACATCTTGAGGTCATCTCTGCATTTACATTCCTGAAGGCGTCTGTTGATGGTAGATTATGTCGGTGACCTGCCAGCCTCCTCTTTAATGTCCTTGACTTGACTAGATGTTGTGAAGGGGTTTTTCTTCACCACAGAAAGAATTCTATGATCATATTTTTCCTCTGTGGTCTTCCAGGCCTTTTGGTGTTGCTGAGACCACCAGTTCAATTCCTCTTTTTTGAATGCGCCAAATTGACATTGCCCTCCTAAAGTTTCTGCTGTCTCTCTAATGGGTTTGTTTATGATGGCCCTCTTCACTTGCATCAACACCTCTTTGGACCACATATTGAGTGTTCCCATAAACAGCTAACAAATGTATCCAGCTATTGGAATCCAGACCTTTTATATCCTTAATTTGTCATGAAGTAACAAGGGAATAGGCCCCATCTGGCCATGACACTGCTTGTCAGTCAATTGCCCAATTAATTTTGAGCCTATGAAAATGGAGGGACTTTGTAAACAATGGCTGTAATTCCTAAATGGTTAATGCAATTTTTTTAAGCCTTTGAATTAAAGCTGAATGTCTACACATCAATATTTTAATAACTGCTTTGTTTCAACACAAAGGAGAAAAATTTCAAAAATTGTGTCAATGTCCAGATTCTTATTGCTAAGGCTCTGGGACTCCAGTGAACCACAGTGAGAGCCATTTTCCACAAATTGGGAAAACTTGGAACAGTGGTAAACCTTCCCAGGAGTGGACTACCAAAATTTCACCAAGAGCGCATCAGTGACTCATCCGGGAGGTCACAAAAGATCCCAGACAAACATCTAAAGACCTGCAGTCCTCACTTTCCTCGGTTAAGGTTAATGTACACGATTCCATTATAATAAAAATACACTCGGCGAAAAATGACATAAATGCAAGAGTTGCAAGCTGCAAACCACTGCTGACCAAAAAGAACACAAAGGCTCGTCTCGCATTTGTCAAAAAACACTTCTAGATGACCACCAAGACTTTGGGATAACATTCTTTGGACTGATGAGTCAAAGATAGAGATGAAACGATATTAAAATTTCATATCACGATTATCATGACCAAAATTATCACGATTATCGGTATTATCGCGATATTGTTCAAACGTGTTGAAAAGTAAAATAAAAAAAATAAATAAATACTGATACACAAACTGAAACTCGTTTCACCAATTTTTATATCAACACAAATAGAA